TCTCTACGCCTCCCTCAACTTGCTCTTTGTAGAGTAAGTTGCCCGCGAAGGGCAGCCAGCCACCCGTAGCGGCGCCCAGGGAGCTGGGGGTTAAGGGCCTTGCTCAAGGACCCACAGATGTGCTGAGGCTGGGTTTGAACCGGCGACACACAGGCTTAGCCCACTGAGCCACACGCTGCCCCCCAATGGTCCCAGTAATGGCACAAACAAACCACACTTAAGTCAGAAAATAAATAGTAATACGAACATTTTATAATATTAAATTATGGCATTTGACACATTCAGGCAGTTCAAGCTGCGTGTTGTGCCTAAATACATGATATAAGGGCTCACTGAAGTTTTAAAGAGATGTCAGCTCATTAGCTCTCAAAACAGAGTGCAGAGTCGAACCTGACACCTCAAGCACTTGCCTCGTCATCAATTAGCCAGAACCGGCGACATGGACCATCTGGCCACACGGATCCCACTAAGGCACCTGCTTGAAATCCTGCCACCGCCCTACAGTCGGGGGGCCTTGAGCCAATCGCGGGCTTCCGAAGAAACCTTGGCGATGTCTCTGTAGCTCTGGTGGGGGGGGGGGGGGGGGCTGGGGGCCTAAGCGTCCTTCTGTGCCTCGGGATGCTCACCACAAACATCAACCGGCAGCTCATGCGCCGCACCAAAGAACCCCGGATTCCTCCTGGCTGATTTTGGAATTTCTGGACTTTGTTCTGAAATCTGAAAACATAATCTTAAAGTAATCCTGTTTAGTCAGGAAGTGTGTAATGGGAGAGGCCAAAATAAAGCAGAGCAGAAGCTACAGTGTATATCTCTGTGGCCAGGTCTGGATGCTGTTCAGCCAAATGGCTATTTCAATATTATTTAAATACTAGAACTTGTGGCCATAAGTGGAAATTAGCAGGAGAGCATTTTAAAATTAATTTGAGGAACCACTTCTTTACACAGATACACTAAAAAAAAATGTGTCCTGTTGGCATTCTATGAACAAAAAATGTGGTACGGAACTAGTTATTTTTTTCACGATGTGATCTGACTAAATGACTACAATATCTTTCAGTTTCCTTCTGGCGATGTAAGGACACCACTGTCCATAATTTGCACCTTGCTGCGCAAATATGAATTCCTATTAAATTACTTGGCTAGGTTGCATTTAATTTCCTAAATGAATGTTGTTCAGGTTCACAGTTTGAGGCACCTAATGAATTATCTGCAAAGGCTTATTTCTGAATAAAACGTCAACTTGGCAGCAAAACAGATGCGTGACTCGTCAGAGCTCTATCGCTCCAACTTTGCCCCAACATGCATAATTAGCGTGTTTTCCACAGATAGTGGTGGAATTTCAAGCTACCATACACGTCTCAAGACCTCCTTCGTTCGCACGGAATCCGGACCGCCGGGAGATTCTGAATCACCGGATTGTTACCTGGGAACCATCCCACCCAAAGCTATGTCTGGCAGGGCAGGGGCTAGAGCGCCTGTGGAGAGCGCTCCACGTCAGCCCAGAAAAGGCACCAGGAATCAGTGGGCTGGGCCTGTGTCACTGGGGAGGAGCATGCTGGCTGAACGCCGCACATCCTGAAACACTCGCCTTCCAGGAAATCCCCCACGGCAGAATCAGCTGGCTGGCATCTGACTGACCTGACCTGCACAGCTGTGTGGATGTAATAGGGAGGGTCGCACGCCACCTCCATGTGGCATAGCAACCAGAGCAGAGTCAAAGGCAAGCTGGCTGGGGCTTTTGACGTTACCATGGGCAGTGGATTTTGAAGCCTCGATGACATCTAAACAAACCGGGCATACTTTCTATTATGCACGACTGACTTTTGGGATGGCTTGTTGAGATCTCCGGAAATGCTTCCAGCTTTCAGGAAGAGATGGAAGAAGCCTTCATACTGGAGAATCAACCAAAGCTTCTGTGTTTATTACATAAACCTGACAAACAGTATGCATTCAGTCGTGCAGATACAAGATTTAGGTCAGGCATCCACTCTGCTATTTACGTGCCTATAAATATGTACAATTAAAGCAGAGCAGAATGCAGACATACGGCCATTTGACCTTTCTGAGTGTTAGGATTCAAGCAGTCAGTGCCGGTAAAAATCATACCAAAAGGGATGGAGTACGTATCGTCTCTCAAGGAAAATATTCAATATTATCAAAAGAAATAAATATCCACAAGGGAAAAAAAATAAAAATAAAAATCAATCATAGAAAAGAAGAAAACCTAAAAATAACTCTGCTAAAGTAACACCATTGCATATCAAAGCAATAATAAACCAGTAATTTAATTTGGGCCGCAGCGGGATAACAGATCCGATTTATGACTGGGCAGTTCACCATGCCAGTCTTTACCATCAGATGAACAATAAAATGAAAGTCAGGCTTTTGGAAGCGGCTGTGGTAGGAGGGGAAGGGAGTCCATGTCGAACATGAGAAACGGTGAATCTCCCTCCGTGAGACTATGTATAAATAAGGCTCTTCCACTGCTCCCGAGATGAAAGGGGGGGCATAGAAAAAAGAGAAAGTTTTCTGCACTAAGTGCATCTCCCCCATTCATTCTCTTCCCGACTGCGGATTGGCAGTTCAAAGTAAAGGATGTTCAAAGCCTTAGTAAGGGAACATTCAAATTAGCTGCCGCAACAGAGGCAGCCTGGTCTGTATGCAGGCTGCAACAGCACAGCAATATTACCAAAGGGCATTTTTAATTTCACTTATAAGGACCATGATTACAGGGGATTCGAGAGAAGGCAAGAAAGTAATTACAAAAATCCACAATCTCTGGCTGTTCTAAGCTAAAGCCTCCATGAATGTCTCCATTTTAATAGTTTCCCCCACACATAATCCTGATGTTCCCCTCAACCTCTTGCGATTGCGGGTGCAAAATCTCAACTCTTGGTCCCTGTGAACTCTCTCCGATCTCAGTTACCTCAAAATGCTCGGAAATCATCACAATCATGGTTATTACATTCTTATTATTAAAAAACACAAGGGACAGCAATGATAAAAAAATACTTGAAAGAAACATGGACAGCAATACGCAGCCATTTTTACAGACATTTTGAGTAACACTTCGAAAGGGTGGTGTTCGTCTCCCATAGCCAGTAGTCTATAACACTCCTTATATCCGTAATGCACCTAAGGGCACACAAAGTGAATCACATAATCCCATTAGAACAGTGTTTCCCAATCCGGTTCATGTTTTTGCTCCCTCCCAGCTCCACCAAAATGTGACCTATCTGCCAGAGAGCTGGAAGGGAACAAAAATGTGAACTGCCTGCCAGAGAACAGGGAGGGAGCAAAAATGTGGACTGTCTGGCAGGGTGATGGGAGGGAGCAAAAATGTGGACTGTCTGGCAGGGTGCTGGGAGGGAGCAAAAATGTCGACTGTCTGGCAGGGTGCTGAGAGGGAGCAAAAACAGGGAGCGTCTGTGGGTCCCAGAGGACCGAATTGGGAAATGCTGCATTAGAACATCACTTCAGCTTTAAATTTACTCAAGTTGCCAGATATTTGTACTAAGAGCAGAGACCAGAAACTATATGAAGACATACATTTTGTCAGATGTCACCTCTACGGAGAATCAACGGTGTGTCAGTGAAACAAGATTAGGATAAAAAAAAAAAGAAAAAAAAAACTGCTGATTCTGCAAGGTCTAATGTTTAGGGAACATGGTGATTCAAGCATTGCGTTGCTAAGATTTTCAATCAACTAATGACTTTCTCTTGTGGAAATGTTGCACATACCCATAAGTTCTGAAACTAGATGCCATTAAAAAAAAGGTTTGGTGTGAATTAGCCTTTGGAAGCCATTTTTGTGCCCAGTCAGCTGCGAGTAGCTGGTGGTGGATCAGCACTGTGTGGATGCCCTGAATGGAGGGAGGCTTTGGGAAACACACTCATCTACCAGCACAATGACTTGGGCAGCCTACCACACTCAGCCATGTGTCATGCGCTATGAGTGGGTTAAAAACAATTAATCACTACAGTGTTAACAGTATACGCATTCTGTCAAATTAATACTAGATTAACATTTAAAGTCTATCTGAAAACCATCTGAAGTTGAGGACAACAACAACAACAAAAGCCTTTCAGAAAAAGGGCAGAGGAGCTTTGCTGGAAGTGCTGTTGTTTTCCTAATACGGTGAAAAGGCCACAAAGACTTATTTATTATTAAAGCATTGTTCTATATAGGGGTGTATAATCCAGGGGCCACAGGAGCAGGAACATGCCCCCACCCCACAATATTCAATGGAGCTTCATTCACTACCAATACACAGACCTTTGGAACTAAATTAATAAGTTGAGTCCCCCAATATCAAACACTCTCCTACGCTGTTGGTCCTACAGATGGCCTTTAGCAAACATGCAGTATGTTGGACGCAACCTTGCAGTGCAAATCTGTTAGCTTTCATACAAGGATCGAACGTTTTGGCTGAACCTCACCGAACGCTACACAGTGACCAAGGCTCACTCAGTAGATTAAAAGGGATTATTTACTCCGAATGGGCTCAGACTGCATATTGCGAAGCTTCTGATCCGGAAACGGCTTTGGAAATGGACACGAGTGGCAGGCAGAGTTCACACCTAACCAAGGAAACCAATGCTTCCAGCCAATATGCTAATGCAGCAAGATGATATGAACGTTACAGTATGTCAAGCTCAAGCTAAACGACCACTGGATATTGATTGGCTACGCGGCCCATTTCTATTAAGGAGATGAAAGGAGAACTGTAACAGGTCCCATGACACCATGTTTACATTTATCACCACGGAATCTGCTTACTGGGTGTATGCAGGGGTGGAGCCACAGGGACTGAAAGTTGATTGGTCCCCAGAGTGCCCCATCCCCTGTCACTCACCAATTCTAAACATATCATTGGCTAATGATACGGTTGCCCTTGTATATGAATTATGGCCTCTTATGCCCCGCCCACCCACCTTAAAAATCCTAAAATTGCCCCTGGACTCTGACCAGAGGGATGGAAGCTGATGAGGGCCCTCACCTTGAGCTTGTCGAAGCGCTCGCTCAGGGAGGACACCTGGTGGTCTCGGTGGCGGCCCACCAGCTTACACAGGGCACAGATCAGCTGGTCGTCCACCACACAGTACATGTTGACCTTCTCGTTCTCATGCTCCAGGCAGGTGAGACCGCGGAGGTGCGCGTCGGGCACGGGCTCCACCAGCCGATGGCTGGTGAACGGCTTCTTGTTGGGGTGCGTGGCGCGCAGGCAGCGGTCACAGTAGGACACCTCGCACGTCACGCAGGTCTTGACCGCCTCGCGGGGCGGGTCCTGCTCGCAGAACTGGCAGCCGACTCGCTCCAGGGACATCGCGCTGGCCGGGCTACCACGAGCGGCAGTGCCGTACGGCCGAAGCCTCCGGCTCTCGCTGGGGGAATTGGGGCCGCTCACGGAGGCCTTCTGGAAGCGGTCAATGATGTTCTGCAGTGTCACATTGCGCTTGAGGCCCTCCAGGCCGCGGTGGTTCAGAGTGATGACGTAGCGACACGTGGGGCACTGGAAGGCGGAGATGGACTCGACGGGCTCGTTGCTGGAGCAGTGGGACACCAGGATGCGGTGGGCGCAGTTGAAGCACAGGCTGTGGGCGCAGGGTAGGAGCAGGGGGTCTTCAAACAACTCCAGGCAGATCGGGCAGGTCAGCTCCGACTCCAGTGTTTCCATCTTCAGTCGAACCGATCTAGAGGCGACATCAAATCCCACAGAAGCTGGTCAGTAACCTGCAGGGTAACAGATTGGCAAATCAGAATCTGTAACCCAGCGAGGCATAGCCCGCTGGCCCTCGGTCAAACTTAGGCAGAACACAAACCGGAAGGTCGTAGGTTCGAGTCCCATGGCCGGCAGAGTTATATCACCATTGGGCCCTTAAGTGAGGCTCTTAAACCCAACAGCATTTAGAACACCGTCTGACGCTACTCTCCGATTCTCACTTCAATGTTGCTTTGGACAAGAGCATCTGCTAAGGAAATGTAATTATGAGGTAAGATCTCAAAGCATGTGGTCGCAAAGCAGATTTTAAACCATACTGGACACCATCGCTGCCGCTACAGTGAGAGGTAGCTGGCGACGCCTCAAGATAGTGATACGATGAATGAAAAACCAGCTGGTCAGACACATATACGGGATACAAAGCAACAGTTTACGGTAAATCGACAGCAGGGCGACACACAAGGTAAATTCTAACAGACTGCAGAGCAGCTTCAGATTCCGCCACTCAAGCAGACAGACAGGTGAGGAGGGCATTCGTCTGGCGGAGGCTACCGACATCATGAAAACTGAAACACAAGACGGGACCATTACTCCCGTGTGTACCGGTTCTGCTCCTGTGGCAGCCATCAGTGCCACCAGCATGGAGAGGGAAAGAACTTGTGGCTTCATGTTTGATCTTGACCCAGACTGGTATATAGACAGATCCAGTTTATGTGTGATCTAGGCCCAGACTGGTATACAGACAGATCCAGTTTATGTGTGATCTAGGCCCAGACTGGTATATAGACAGATCCAGTTTATGTGTGATCTAGGCCCAGACTGGTATATAGACAGATCCAGTTTATGT